GCTGTGAGGTATGCGAAGATGTTTTGTGTGTGTTTTGGTTTGGGTTTTGCTTGTTTGAATTGCGTCCATCACTTTATTTTTTAAGAGAAGAGAGATCCAAAGGCATTCCTTTGGAGAACAGGCAGATCAATACATGAATTATTAACCAGCCACTGCAGTACTGATAGGCCCCAATATAACAGAGTTATGCTCTTAAAAGCGGTCAGCTCTGTCCTGGAGACAGGGACTGTTCCCTTCCCTGTTGCAGTGAGGCCTTCACAAAATACCGGACCACACCGGAAGGCCAAATTGTCCCTGATTCACGATTAGATCAGTTTAATGTTAATCGTGGTCATCTCTGTAAACACTGTATGAGCACCTCTGTTTTAATTACAAATCTATCTTAACCGTAACATACATAAAGGCTGTGACTGTCACCCACCACACACCTGAGGCCACCCCTGAGGACTAAAGATAAGACGATATCCTGCCATCACCTCCAAGTCCTAACACACCGGCTTCCTAATAAACCCCGCTGAGCCCAGTTAAACTGAAATAGCCCAGCATGTCAGTGTATCTGTTTGCCCTCCAGTTTCCCAAGAAGGATTTTGATGGAGGAACTGTGTGCTTCTCAATGACACCAGAATCTTGGGGTGAGAAGAAGTCTGTTCCTCAGCCACATGAAGTGCTTGACCCTGTATGCAGAAATTAAGGGCAGAGCTCTGACGATAATTATCCAGTGGGCTGGATGCTAGCTTCCTGCTCAGTTACTGTTCTGGAAATTAACTTCCACGTGTGTATGTGTGCAGTGTGCAAACCACTGCAGCCTCTTCCCCAGGTATTCAGCTGTCTCCTTGACCTGCTAAGAAGGATGCTCCATGTCTCGGCTTCTGCAAAGACCTTTACCCTCTCGGAGGACAAGTTACAGTCCACTGGGGGACAAGAGATATGCAAAACTGATGTGCCAATGTATGCACAGCAGGGCATGCTGGTCCCTGAGCCCAGGTGGGCAGATGCTGCTGTGAGGGCTCCCAGGAATGATCAGAAAAGACCAATGAAGGAGACCAAAGCTCAAGGGCAAAGGCTCAGATGTGCTCAGGATTCAGCTGAGCCATTGGACACGGGAAGAACTCAGGCACCTGGGGAAGTGGGAAGAGGAAGGCAGGGCTTGGTCCGGGGAGTGGAGAGTTACTGGGACAGGTGAGAAGCTTAGATGTGCTCTGGGGCCACACCCCCTTGAACCGGGAAAGTAAAGACCAGAGTTAATGTTTAGGAACAAAGTAGAAAGTGGTGCCAGCGTAGAGGTTGGGCTGGAGCAGAGTGTGACTGTGACAGTGACAGGCCATGAGGGCCCCAATGATGGCAGTGGTGGAGAAAGCAGAGGACAGGGAATATTGGAACAGACCTCAGGGATGGCATTACCTAGACTGAGAACTGAGAACGAGAGGTGCATTAGAAAACCAGCCCACAGACCCTGCTCCCTCCCTGTCCTCTTGCTCCACAGTCTTGTCTCAATAGAAATGGTGGCATTCCTGTTTCCCCTCAATTTATATTTCTAAATGTAGTAAATGATCTTTCTGGGAAATCAGCTTCCTCCTTGCCATTCCTGTTAGCCTTCTCTCCCTGTCCCTCCAGCCCTGATCTGAAGGCCAGCCGCCTCTTTTTTCTCCGTGGGAATGGGCAGCTATCCAGTTCCATTCTTCTCCATGAGTAGCAAACTGAACAGCCATTTCTACCTTCCCTTAGGAACTGGGAGCTGCCTCCTCTCCACGCCATCCTGCTAAGTCAAGTGTCCCCACTCCCCAGGGTCTGGTCTCTGAGGTTCAGTGCACCCTCCTTTCCACAGGCCACACAAGTATCCATATCTTTATTGTATTTCTGAAGCCCACAGCGCCTTCCTCCACATTCCCACTCTGTGTTCCTGCCTTGCTTCTTATCAGTATCTCCAGAGCCTGCCTCTGCATATTCAAGCAACTTCAGATTGAAAATAGTAAAAAAAAAATTACATGTGTGCTAAACAGATAAAGACTTTTCCTTCTTGCCATTTGTCCATAAGCAATGTAGAATATCAAGTATTTACACAGCCTTTACCTTGAATTAAATATTCTAAGTAATCTGGAGATGATCTAATTACACAGGAAGATGAATGTAGGCTCTATGCAAATATTCTGCCATCTTATATGGGGCACTTAAGCATCCTCGATTTTGGTATACACAGGGATCCTGGAACAATCCCCAAAGGATACCAAGGGACAATTTTATTGTTTGAGAAAAGAGACAGTCAGGTTTGAAGCTGCTTTTTTCCATGGATAAGTCACCTAAGGCCTCCACACCTGGTTGTTCCCTCCCTCCCTGTCTGTTCCCAGGTCCTACTCACTCCAAAGCCTCTACTCCTGCTTCTGTCCTCAAGCAAGTTGCTCCTCCAAATTTACCTCTTCTTTTTTGTGATGTAAATAGCTCCCTTTTCTATCTCCTATTCAAAATGGTAATTATAGGGCTGGAGGCTTGGCTCAAGTGGTAGAGCACCTGCCTAGCAAGTATGAGGCCCTGAGTTCAAACCTCACTAATGCCAAAATAAATAAATAATAAAAATAAAGTGATAATTGCATTGTTATAATGATCTCTGTTGGCTGAGCACCTTGTTTCCATAACAATGCAGATATAAATTCTACACCATTACATAGAAAAGAAAACCAAGTCACAGAGAAGTTACGTAACCAGCCAAAACAACCCAGTTAAAAAGTGATAGAGCCAGACTTTGAACCCAGACAGAAGAATCAAATGCCTGCTTCATGGTACTGCTCAAAATTTCCTCTTTCTTTGCAAAAAGGAAGCCATGGTCCTTCCCTGGGTCACTTCCTCCCCCAAAGCACCCTTATCTCTAAGGCTTTCCCCTCTGTTCATCTGACACACCAAGATTTGCCTGTTCTCACTGCTTCTTCTGTCTCATCCCCTGTGTGCTGCTGGCCTTCTGCACAGGCACCAACATGTCCATAGACATGGCTCTTTCAAATTTGCCAGCGTGACATTTTTTTACATATATGCTGTAGTTTATTATACAACTAAAATTGTCTATTTGTATTAAAACACTGTAAATACATGCAAATATACATATATAAACAAACATCTATATATTTGTTCCAGAAAGTACAGAACATGGCCTCTTTTGTTAAATCATTTTTATTACCATATATTAGTTGTATGGAGAATCATTGCCACATTTCCCTATATGCTTACAATGTGCCTTAGTTAGGCTCACCCCACCATCTCTCTCCCTTGTCCCCCTCCCCACCTACTTAAAACAGTCACAACAGGTTTCACTGCTCTATTCCATGAAGTATACAAATATACAAATATAACCATATTCACCCTCCTTTGTCCTCCTCCACTTACCCTCTCCCCACAAAGTTGCCACTCACACCCACCCCTTCACAGGACCGTTTTACAATCCTGCCCTTCATTTTTAAGTCTGTATTCATTGTTAAAGGGGTTTCACAACGGCGTTTCAGCTGTGATACACTGTACTTTAGCCACATCAACCCCTTCTCTTTCTCTCCTCGCCCTTTCCCCTACTCCCTCTTATTAAACAGTTTCAGAGCATTTCATCCCGTCGTAGTCCTTCACAGGTACATTGTATTTCAGGAGTGCTCACACTCGTTCTCTTTCCTCTCCCTCCTCCCCCGAGTTCTATCAAGCATTCCCTCCATTGCAAACATGTTCTCTATGTAAATGTGTATAGGATCATGTTTGCTTTTGTGTATATGTTTATCTTTTGCATCTACCTTTCACATGTGAGAGAAAACATGTGACCTTTTTCTTTCTGAACCTGGTTTACTCCACTTAACATGGTGCTCTCCAGTTCCATCCATTTACCTGCACACAACCGATTGTGTATAAGTACCGCAGTGTCTCAATCCATTCCTCAGTGGTGGGCATCTGGGCTGTTTCCATAGCTTGGCTATTGTGAACAGTGCTGCAGTAAACATGGGTGTGCAGGTGTCTCTACTGCATCCTGACCGTCATTCCTTTGGGTAGATACCCAGGAGCAGTATCACTGCATTGTATGGCAGATCTATGTTTAGTTTTCCGAGGAATCTTCACACTTTTCCCATAGTGGTTGGACTAGCTTACATTCCCACCAGCAGTGTATGAGGGGTCTTGTTTCACCACATCCTCACCAACATGTGTTGTTGGTGGTCTTCTTGATGGTACATTCTAACTGGAGTGAGGTGAAATCTAAGGTAGTTTTGATTTGCCTTTCTTTAATGGCCAGGGAACCAACAATATTTTTCAAACCCAAGGAGTCTCTCTTCTGCCTCTCACATTACTGTTTGCTTTGACTTTTCACGAGATAGCTAAGTGTTCCTCTCACGGTGTGTGTGTCTGATGACTCAGATTAATTACAAACTCTTAGGTGGCAAAAACGCTTACCATTTCTTAGTGCTACACTGTGCTCAGCACATTCCTTGCTCAGACTAGCCCACTCTAACTGGAGTGAAAAGGAAATTCCTCCTTGGTGACTTGTGATGTTGCACAACCCTTGGAAATAAGTTGGTGTGAGTTGCACACTTTGTTTTCCTGCCAGAATACTTGGCTCACAAAGTTCTAATTGGTAGGTGTAGAAAACTCTGAGTATCTGAGGAATCCCAACACCACTTCACTACAAGGTTTCCCAGGGGAAGAGATGGGGCCCACACACACCACGCAAAGTTATACAGCACCCATTGTGTCTTTACAGCTTCCTGTGAAACCCAGGATTTGGGGTTGATTATTAAGTCATCAGAAGCATGCTGATGAGGAAATCAATGACAAGTTCCCAAGATTTACTTTCCCAAACAGCAAATAAACATGGCAAACATTGTACATGGTGACTCTGAACAATTGATTTTGCCAAGCACTGCCGAAAGTCTGCTTCTCCGGGCCACACATGGAAGCCTCTTCCACACCTGCTTGTGCTATGTACCTTGCACTCTGTTCTAGAAAACATTTCTAACCTGCCTGTGGGCTTTTGGTCCTTACAGCTCCTGACGGTCCACCCCAGGAAGTTCACCTGGAGCCCATATCGTCTCAGAGCATCAGGGTCACCTGGAAGGTAAACCACGTTAACACATATGTTTCAGCCCTATGCCTATGGGCATGAGCTCTTCACTCTTAAGTGTCAAGATGTCAAGATGCTAACATTTTATGAAACTTTCAGTTCCCAAACTAGATTGCTTAAAATCCAATATAGTCACATCTTGCTTAATGAGCAGGTTCATTCTGAGAAATGTGTCTTCAGGTGTTTTTGTCATTGTACAAACATCATGGTGTACTTACACAAATTAAGGTGGCTGTGCTGTCACAAGGTGCTGGGTCCATCACTGACTGAAGAGTTGTTATGGGGCGTATGACTGGATTTGTATTTGTATTCACATTTCGAAGATTTTTGCAGTAGATTTTGCATCTCCAGAGAACAAAGGTGCTCTGTGTTACTTGTTTTATTCCTTGAATCTAATCAAGGAAGTAGTGAGAGTGACAACCCTGACTGAACTCTAATGACATCCCAGTGACAACTTTCCCAGTTGCTTTTTGTGAGAACAGACAATCCACTGAGCTGATGGGAAAGAGAAAAGTCCTAACTGTATCACTAGTTACCCACGTTCTTAAGAGAGCCCCTTGGGTTCCTCACCAGGAAGATGGGCTGTGAAAGTAGCTGTGTCCCCAGGCAGTGCCACCCAAGTGTGGCTCAGATGCAGACTGACTGCCAGTTAGCTTGGTGTACAGCTGCCAGCTTCTGGGAAAGCAGCAAGTGTGAGCCACAGTAGACAAGGCTATCAGAGCCAACTTTCTCAAAGAAGGAAGTAGTGCTACTTGGTATTCTGGTGCAAGCTGATTACAAGCCAGTGCTTTGAGGCACCACTCCCCATGATCTTCAGTAAATGCCCTGTGGCACTTTCTCACCTGGTAAGGGATGATATCTTGGGACTTAGTCACCTCTTTAAAGGTAGCTGGCAATGACTGTTGTAGGCCAAAATCCACTTTATCTAGAGAGATATTATTGAATTAGCTTGCACTCACTAGTCCAGTTCTGCATTTCTCACTGCATGTAGGGTTTTTTTCTTGTCTCTTCCCTCCCCCACTTTTTCTGTGTCCTCACCTAAAGAAGAAGGTAGCTAACAACCATAGGGAGGTAGGTACTCAAAACTCACACCTCTGGTCACCCTTGCAAACCTGATCCAATGTACCTGTTTATTTTCATTCTAGTATGCCTTCTTTCAAAATATGACCAGCATCTGTAACAAAAATGGATTTTCATTGTTGGGGTGGACACTACTTTTGGTATCAACACAGGCTAATGCAGGGAGCGCCTTTGTGTCAGCTTTTATCACCCCAGCCACTGAGCTGCATTTTCAGCAGGCAGCATGACTTGGCTGTTAGCTGCACAGACAGCATGGCCGAGGAGTGTGGAGTAGCTGCTGTCCGTCTTTGTGAACACATCGACACCCCTAAGCATCACACACACTGAACAATAAAAGGCACTCAGCAAGCTGTAACCCTATGTGCACGCTGGCCACACTACAGACAGAATGCTGACTCAGTCAGTCTGCCTTGAATTAGACACTGTGAAGTTTGCAATTTGCTGCTGAAAAAGACCAGGTATTTCTGTGTCCTCAAAAGCTTTTTGGGTCCTGCATGATGGAAGTGACTGTTCACAGAACATCTAGCTCTTACAGCTAAAATTGGAAACTTCTGGGGGTTTAAAAGGCGTCTCTCTAAAGAAAGAAGCAGAAAAAGTCAGGAAGTTGCAAGTACCGAAGAGAAGAATGTGGTGTGGGCCTTGCTTTTGTTAGATTGTGAGCAACTACAGTGTGATGTAACAGTGCAGCCTGGTGTAGCTGATGGCATTGCCTGGTGTGCTGTGACCTGCCTGGCTGAATTAGGCACAGCTGCCCTTCATTGGCTTCCCACTTCATCTTGGCCTGAACAACCTTTAAAATGACATCGCCAATTCAACCAAACTGTGTGTCACTGTACGTGATCTAAAGGATGGGAAAAATATATACGTGTCACAAAATACTCTTTTCTATGGTAGAAGAGTCCAAAATATGCATTTTATGTAAGGAGACTGTCAAGGAAGGGTAAGAAAGTAGGAGGTCAGAAAAGACTAATAGTATTGACATGTTGGCGAGCCAGGATAGAAATGTAAGGAGCAGTAGGAAGTCAATGGTGGAGTCTCATTCACCATCATGAAACCACTGATTGGAGGCAAAGGACACAATCAATGGAAGACGTGAGGCAGAGGTGACAAAGCTTTGGGGTTAGAGTGGCTAAACAGTCGTTTTAGACGCTAAGCCTCTTACAGGTCAGGGGCACATTGTGGCCTAACTCTGGAGTTAGATATTACATTTGTTTATTGTTATATAAGCAACACTTCTGTAGAACCTTCTATTGAACCAAATAAACATTCCCCCCTTTTTATTTTAGTTATTTCTTTCACCAAAGAAAAATTTCTGATTTAAAATTTTTGGAGTCTGGCCCAAGCTGTTCATGACCTATGTATGGAATCCAGATAAGTCCTGTAGACACTCAAGTCTCCCTGACATCAGGCTGCAACACCCCAACTCAGGCTCATTGCTTCCTCCTTCCCCTTCATATCTGACATGGAGCAGGTCCCTTGCTATTGGGATCTCCAAACAGCAGACAGTGACACAGGAGCAACTAACTTGTGCAGTGAAATGCCCCAGTGCAAACAGTGGTGAATCCAAAAGATGTGCCCCATCTTTTGTGGTTTCCACCGTAACCAACCGAAAGGTAAAGTGCGATGAATTCTCATGAGTTTTATAGGGCATGGGCCTCTGCGTACCACAAGTGTGAACCCATAGGGAGATGTCCAAGAGCAGTGCTGTGTGTGATGTTTGTTACGCAGGATAAATCCTCAGACTCTGAAGGACTTCTCCATATTTCCAGTTAAATAAAAACATAAAGCAACACCTTAACAAGGACCCAAGAAACCAGTCATTGCTCATTTGTTCCATTTGTAATGTGTTCTGCATCTCTCTCTACCTATCCATTGGGTCACCTTCTTAGCTGAGCCATGTGACTGGTTCAAAGACCCCAGTCCTCTGTACAAGAGCAGAGCCACCCACTCCTGGCAGGTCTCCCAGATTTGCAAACAGTTCTTTTCCAGTGACCAGATGCAAGGTACAACGACAAGATGCCAGCCACCTTTCCAAGGGTCATTCAGCCACCCAATGTGGGACTCGGGTCTGATACCAGGCATGCTGGGACTCAGCATAGGAACCATTTCTCATTTCAAAATCCAGTGAAAAGTCTGCACTCCACAGCTAACTGACACGAACAGGACACAGATTTCACTTAGCCTAAGAAATAGGACTAAGGCTCTCTATAGGCTGAAAGCTGAGGGTTCTTTTAGATGTTTTGTTCTGACACCTGATTGAGCTTAGGTGAATTGGGCACAATACAAGACATGTAAGGTAGGCATTTTCATTTGTTTGTCTCCTAGCTATTAGGTTATAAATTTGTTATATGTTATTCAGTTAGGAGGCAAGGTTATGTTTTTGACTTAGAGAACAAATGATCAGAAATGCTAACAAAACTAATGAGTAGGACCCATGAGGTTGCAGCTGTATAATGAGCATTTGGGACATTTATTGGTGACCTACCCTTAGCTCTGTCTTAACCTAATACATCAGCCCCACAGTGTGTGAGCGGATGGGATTCTCAGGTAGGGATCTTAGGGCAAAAATTGCTTATGGTCAGAATAATATTGAAAATGAGATAAACTGTGTTAAGTACAGTCTGTGTAATTTTACCCACCCAAATCTAAAAGGATGTACATATATATGAAGTGTAATATTCACAGGAAAATGTTAGGAGTATATATAAAAGTATGACAGTATTTTATGATACCATGCATAGATTAGGGTTGGCATTAGCTAAGTGCATCTCCAACAAGTGGGTTGTGTGTAATAAGAAGATTGTATGAAAAGTACTGAATCAGATTTCAGGAAAATTAGTTACTACTCCTATCTCTACACCCAATTAAAATGACTTTGAGCAAGTCACTTTGTTATTGTTGAGATTCGAACCCTTTTCTCGGTCTGATTTGTGTGTCCTTTCTTAGGCCGTAGCCAGGTAAGTAACCGCGCACTTTGTTGGCACGTTCTCTTCCCTGCTCATCCTGCATCCTTGCTAGGACAAGGGAAATGGGCACATGGGTCCCATTTAATGACAACTCTCACTTCCATCCCTGCCCGAGGTGCTCGACCCCGGGTTCTGGAGAGCGGTTCCATGTCTAGAAACAAGCATCTCCCAGTAAACACTGTGAAACTTACATACCCAAACGAATTTCATTTTAAGTAATGTAGCAATGGATGTGTAGGATTTCAGAAATGTATTCAAAAGACTGTCTCACATATACATTTACTGGTTTTCATAAAACACCATGCCATTTTTATAGAAAACAAATAGTGACTTCACGTTAAAGCGAACATGGCATTGAGCAGTGTACATTGATTGAATGGCACCTTTCAATGGTGTGAATCAATGAGCACACACTATTTAATGTGTTTCCTTTTCTTAGACAGAAGCCCAGAAGTCATCTTACAGACGACATTTCTCATCTTTTCAGAGAGCTCAAATATTGAAGCTAGGTTATCAAACTGGGCACAGATGTTAAAATGAGAACTCAAGGGCAAAACGATAAAGCGCACCCAATCGAAGTTTACATGTGCCCCAAATGGTGTCTTCCATGTCACAAACATGTCTCCTAAGGGAAGGGAAGGAATGTGGCATGATTTTATCATTTACATCTTGGCTGGACAAAGTTGGTCGAGGTCTAGGGGAAGAATTCCAGCCAGGAAGAGCCTGAATTAACAGTCCGACTATGGCAAATTTCTAGACTATTCATATTAGTTACATTTCAGTGCTGTGACCAAAATACCTGACAGAAGCAACTTAAAAGACAAAGGATTTATTTTGACTAGGGTTCCAGAGGGTTCAGCTCATGCTCACTTTGCCCCATGTACTTGGCGACAGGAGTGTATGGCAGAGGAAAACTACTCACTTCCTTATAGGCAGGTAACAGAAAGG